AGTTAGGCCTTAGGCGTCAGGACGTTTATGACGAAGACTATCCAGCGAGAATGAAGGTCCGCAGTACCGCCTTCCACTAGAAGGCTTCGGCCTGAAAGCGCCAATCTGACTCTAGACTCTGCGGAGGACGAGAAGTGAGGCCCCCAGAATGAGGGACTGGAACACGGTAGGTTGGGACTGCTACCGCCCAGCAGCCCCTGCTGACCGCCTCAACCTCCTCAGAGGAAGAGAGGTAGTGGCCACGCTGGAGGCGTTCCCGTAGCGTTTCGAGTTCCTGAAGGGGAAACTTATTTCTCTGAATAAGTATAAGATGGGTGTATAGTTTGCATCAGTTTATTGTTTGAAAACATAGTTATGAATGGATTTGGATGGATCTTTTGATTTCTCTTTGTTTCACCCACTGCTGCTGCATCCTGGAGGTCCTAAGGAATTTTTATGGTGGTCACAGACCAAACCTTAGGAATCAGTCTCTAGGTGGGTGAAGGGCAGAAACTGCATTTTGACCAACGAACCTTGTAGTCCTGTCCTTCCTAGGCTTGGTACCAGAGATCATCTTTTTGCCCTCTAAGAGGTGTCTGGCTGTTGACCAAGCATATTTATCTGATGGCGTTGGACAGTTTTCTTATTATAGTCCACCAAGATCCAATCAAAATGTAGCAAACCTTTGTCCACTGTTGTGGTCAGAGAGGGGCCCCGCCATAAACTGGGCCCAGGAATGTGCTGTTCACTAACATAGGCCTACAATGAAAAAAGGTTCACCCTCTTTCCAGCATGCACTAAGGCATGAATAATTAATATGGTTAAATTGTATGATGGATTTTCAGTTTTATTTATATTTTTGGTAATTATTTCATTGTCATGTTTAGTAACTTGTTGTCTTCTGATGTCAGGATGACCTTGTTCCTCTAATCAAAATAATCAGTTAATTGTTACATATAATCATAATTGTTATAATCACAATTGTTAACCTTATCATGTTTCATGTACCCAGTCTTGAGGTCTGTGTGTGATATTTCAAAATATTTAATGTATGTGACTTTGTCACAAGTGCTCAACTGCTGATGTTACGAGCTATCAGTAGTCACTTTGTTTTCCATAAGAAGCATTTCTCATAGAAAATGAAAAGGCAACACCAAACGGCTTGTTTCTTAATGTTCAGAGAACATTCAAAAGTAACATTCCTATAATGTTTTCAGAATGTTCCCATAACATTCCTGTGTGCAAGAAAAAAAACTTTTTTAAAACATTTAACAATTGGACAAAGTGAATGTTCAGAGAACTGTTCATGTTTTTATACTTACCGTTAGCAAAACATTCTTAGAAAATATTTTTAACATAATTGGTTTCCTGCTTTTCAGGCAAAAGTGTAAATCTTTCTCAAGCAATATCCCAGCTAACAATTCCCAAACATTCCACCAAGGTTCTCTCAAATTTCTGAACAAACATTCTTCAGTTTTCTCAATCGCTTTGGCTCAATTCTCAAATGAGAGTTTTTTTCCCCCTCAAAACTATACGTTAAGATGTCTAAACAATTAGTTTCTTGTTCACATCAGATTTGAATTTCTTTTTGATTTAAGCAAATTGCATGTGTTTTGGCACGTGTGCAAAAGAATAAGTACAATTGTCTACAATTTGCACAGTAACTAAGTGCACAAGTTGATTCTCACTGAAATTGTCAAACTCTTCACAACTTCTAAATATTCTTTCATTGTGTGAGCCATCACATGCAAAATGAGCCATTCAGTTATCTAATTTTGTCAAACGTGCATGTAAATATCTGACATGGAATGGTTGTAATGTCTTCTAAGTTGGCAAATGGCATGCCATTAGGGTTGCAAAAGGGTGGAAATTTTCCGGTACATTTGTGAAACATTCCACAAAAATTTACTGGCAAAAATTTTCCACCCCTTTGCAATCCTGCTTGCCATCGTAATGAAATAAGAATCACAATCTTGCCAGTCAATCAAGTTTGGAAGCATATATATGCATATATATCACTACCATATCACTACTTTTGAATGTGGAGGAATTTCAAAACCCTAAACATCAGCAGCTAGAACAGTCAATATTCTATATGTCTATATTTTTACAGTACATTTATCTGTAGAAATGTGTTACATGTAAACCGAAAATTCACAGTTGCATGTTGTGGAAGAGCAATAGGCAATGACAAAAACTCTTTCTATTTTGGCCAAGTCACTGGCCAAGTCTGCTAAGCTCAACCATAAGAGCAGCCTAACAGGGAGGCGAAAGATGACCTAACAACCTGGTATGGCTGCCTTACAAGCTCCAGGGAGCGGAGGATTCAACTCTCAGAAATGAGAGGGGGGCTCAGATGCTCACCCTAGGAGTGGCGTGCTCACAGGTGACCCTCTAGAGTGAGGGGAGCACTGCCAAGCTCAACCATAAGCAGTGGCTATATACAGAGCCCTGAGAGCAGAGTACGTGATTTTCAAATTGACAAGGGAACTCACATGCTCAACCTGGGAGCAGCAGGCTCATAGACAACCCTCCCGTAGTGATGGGAATGCTGCCAAACTCAACCAGAAAGGGCAGTCTAACAGGGTTGCAGAAAGGAGGCCTCTCAACCTGATACAACTGCACACAGGGCTCGTTTAAACTCTCAATCTCATACCTCAGTGAAAAGGAATAGTGAGGGTCCCATACAGCAAGGCTTGAAAGGAGGCGTGTGGGAGCAGCAGGCTCTTGCACCACCCTTATAACCAAGGGGAGCAATGCCAGCTCAACCACCAAAACAGGACAGGACCCAAAGCCATTCATGCACATGATTAGGGCTCCTCAGAGCGAGTACTCAATAATAGGCCTTCAGAATGAAGGAAGTACCATCACACTCATACCTCAGGGGGAACAGTGTGCTCAAGCCACTCAGAAAGAGAGGAGAGATTCACTGGTTCGACCATAAGGCCAGAATAACAGGGAGGTCCATAGTGGGCCTGACAGCCTATCATGACTGCAGAGTGTGATTCAAAGAGTGAAGTTACTTAACAACTCAACAAGAGGAGAACCCAAGCTCAGTACATATGCAGAATGGTCACAGGGAGCTTAGATCCCAAGGAGCCCCTCAGGGTGAGATATTAATTAACTCACCTCATGAGCAGCCTGGCAAGGGTGGCTTCTCAAAGCCAAAACACCCAATGAGGTCATCGGGGAGCAGGTTACGCAATATCACTCGGGAGTGAGAGGAGTACTGCCATGCTTAACCTGGAAGCTACCACCTCAAGCAGTCCCGGAGGGCCTAACAACCTGAGATTGCAGCACTATTCTGGGACCTTAATGACTAAGGAGGCTCCTAAAGAAGCCTAACGACTCTGTGTCAAGGTTCTCCAGTGACGGTATGGACAGGGAGGCCCAGTAAGACAGGCCTGGCAACCCGCTATCAAGGGAACCAGGATTCTGTACCAGAGATGTACCCACAAGCAGTTATCAGGAGTACGAGGGAGGTAAAGTCAAGCTCCTGTCCCTGGGGAGCAGAATGCTTGCAGGTATCTTCTGGAGACATGGATGAAGGTAACCACACTTGGGGTCACCTAGATCCAGACCATCAGTATGCAGTTTCTATGTAAAGGAAACAGCCAACACATCATCAGTCTAGCATAGGGGACTGTGGTGCAAGTGCATGGAAGCACCCATCATACCTAACCTCGATTGCCTGGGGCGGGGTGGGATGGAGCTGAAGGGACAACATAATGTTACTGCACCACTGTATAATACCAGGGTTAGGGAACCAGGTTCTGCGCCAGTGACATACTCACAGGTGGCCCTCAGGAGCATGAGGGGAGTACAGTCAAGCTCCTAGCCCCAAAAGCAGTGTACTCAACTACACCGCTCCTGGATAAGGGGCACCAGCTCAATTCAGGGCCAAGCATCAAGAAGGCTCGCAAGCATACACTTGAGAAAGAGGAGGCCTTGTAGGAGGCCATACAACCCAAGATGTCCCCAGGGCGGGGGGAGGTCCAAACACAAGGGGCCTACAAACCCGACTCTCAGACAGAGGAGGCTTACAGAGAGCCATACATCCCTCAATGTATATATTTTCCTGTATAATAATAATAAGAATAATTGCCTCGGCAACAGTGGGACTCAAACCATGGGCAATAGGCAGAGAATTATCACTGCAATGCGCAGCATGTATTCAGCTCCTGTGGGAGCTAAACACGCTTCATTCAAGCACTAGATTCCTTCGGAAATCAAGAGAGAACAGAAAGTGCTGCCGCGAATGCGTCGCAATGAGCTTGTTCAACTCGCATAAAAGGCAAACGCACTCATGTCTACAGTCTTGGGAAAATGGTTAAGCACTCACCTCTCCTTTCAGTAGTCCCGCTAATGCATCCCGATGAGCACAATCCGCCTCCTCGTGAGTCGAACATGTTCAATTCACACCTATCCACAAAGAAATAAGTGCAATGAGTGCAATGAGCACATTCAACTCCCTCGAGAGCTGAACACGCTTGCTTCTCACCTACACACATAACACACGGGTCGTGTGAAAGCTCGGGTATCAGAGCAAAGCATCTGATGAGAGAACATGCAATCCTAGTCGTGCTTACATAAAAAAACGACAGTGAAGACGCAGAAGAGGATGATGTATTCTCCCGGCACCCTTTTATACTGTGGTCGCGCTAGTAGTGACGTCCCAGGCTGTCGCCGGCCAATGTTATTGTCGTGTTTAGACATATGCTTCAGACACCGGTTGCGCTGAAGGCAATCCCCATAGCGACCGCTAGAGGATGCAGTTCGAGTTCCCTCAAAAGGGAAACTGTAATAGAATGAAAGTAGAAAGTTATCTGGTCTTTAATAATGTTCTCAAAATGTTAGCACAAAAATACATATTTAAGACAAAACTGGATGTTATGAACATTCAGAGAACATTCTGAAATAATATTTTCATTACTTAATGGGAATGTTAGCAAAACGTTCATAGAACATATCTAAATGGTATAGTAGATACAATGATTGAAAAGTTCAGTCAAAACCTTTTTTTTAAAAGTATTTAGTAATGATGTATTCTCCCGGCACCCTTTTATACTGTGGTCGCGCTAGTAGTGACGTCACAGGCTGTCGCCGGCCAATGTTATTGTCGTGTTTAGACATGTGCTTCAGACACAGGTTGCGCTGAAGGCAATCCCCATAGCGACCGCTAGAGGATGCAGTTCGAGTTCCCTCAAAAGGGAAACTGTAATAGAATGAAAGTAGAAAGTTATCTGGTCTTTAATAATGTTCTCAAAATGTTAGCACAAAAATACATATTTAAGACAAAACTGGATGTTATGAACATTCAGAGAACATTCTGAAATAATATTTTCATTACTTAATGGGAATGTTAGCAAAACGTTCATAGAACATATCTAAATGGTATAGTAGATACAATGATTGAAAAGTTCAGTCAAAACCTTTTTTTTTAAAAAGTATTTAGTAATACTTCTAATTCTAAGTTACCTACAAATACCTCTGTCATCATCAGTTGAATCCATGGTAACAATACTACATTCAATATACCCTTGAAGTGTGTGACATTTTGCAGTACAACAAGTTCAGTAAGGAGCAACCCACAGAAACTGTCACCGAGAACCAAATTAGAGACACAAATGTGAACAACAAGTTAATTTCATGGTGGGTTTGTTGGTTGAAATCTTGGCCAGGGTAACATAGCCCCCATCAGTTGTTGATACGGCCGCTAATTAAATCTGAGAAGTCAATCCAGGATCTCCTCATTGGACCTCAGGTCCCATCACATTCTGTCATGAAAACCTCTTTTCCAACATATTTTGGCAGGTTACTTCCACTCTCCACATCTCACTGCTGTCTCCCTGGGTCTTATTTTCTCCAGAAGTCTTTCACCCCTGCCGACAGCAGCTCTGCTTAATTGGAAAGGACAGCATCTATCCCAGCACCCAATAATCGCCCTTGACGGCCTCAGAGCCTGGTATCCCACACTGCCCCTCCTCCTCTGGATTTCACAGCACTCACATTTAACATACGGCAGCCTTAATTACCCATAAGCTCGCCTGTATTTGCATTTCAACTTTTATTATCAGTAGAAATAGGAAATGAGCTATTCTTTTACAAGTGTCTGTGTTACAAATTGTTTTCAACAGATGACTGAATAGATTGCTGGTTAGGTCAATCAGTTATAGGCACCTATGTATATTAGTGCTGTCAATCGATTAAAAAAATTAACTAATTAATCGCATATTTTTCTAAAATGAATTGTGATTAATCCCACCTAACATTAAAGTTTTTAAATTTACTTTATTGAAATAATTTCACATTCAATCTTCAAATGAATGTAGAAACAACATAAAGACAGTACATTTTTAATATTTGTTTAATGACAACTTTTTTATGACTATAGGCGAGTATCACTGATACCAATACTACTGATGTCTCTAGGAAATTGTTTTTTTTCTTAATTTTTAACGACTGACTATAGCCATTTAACATTACAGTATAATTGAGAGCTATCAATTTGAACATTTATTAGACTTTAAAAAATAACTTTTAATTTAAGTGAACTTAAAACAATCTTCACATAAACCCATTATAATAAATGTCATACTTAGCTACCTGTGCCATTCAGCAAGTAGAAAATTAAATATATAGAAATTGATAAAGTTATCAAACACTAAATTCAAAATTAAATATTAAATATAAATGAATCCTTAAAGCTATTGATTTCCTCTTTTTTCTTTTGTTCTTTGATTAACAGACATCACAGCAGCTGGGTTATTAGGTTATTTTGGCTGCTACTATTTTAAGAGCTGCTGCTGCTGACCATGACTCGGATCTGACACGCATCATATTTTCTCACAACTCGTTACCTTTTCTGACCCACTTCAGGTCTTAAAGTCTCTACTAATGAGCTGACGAGTTGAATCGGGTGTGTTAGATGAGGAAGACAGTGCTGGGGTGACAGTTTTGAAAACCACTGCATTTCAGAGACATGCTCTTAAATGTGACTCATATATAATAAATACTTACATGCATGCACAGTTTTAAGGCAGCTTTAATCACCTTTTTGGTAACTTCATGACTTAACTGACGGCATAACTACAACATTGCATGCTCGTAGTTTCTTTCACACTTTAATAATAAATGATACAGGCTACAGCGCATATCAGTCCATTTGTGCGTGCAATAGAAGAATACATGCTACGAGCACAGTATTATGGCTGACAGGACAGGAAAATTCGCTTTTACTGAAATACGGCCTGACAACATCTCATCTGACTGTGATTCACTGTTGTCCTACTGAAGCTCCGTCGTCACCTGTACCATTTATTTCACGCACATTTGAATAGCACCAGCTGCTGAGGTGAAGTTGGAGTGCGCGTCTGAAAAGTCTCCCATTTGATGTGGTCATAAAGACATTCAACATCTAAATAAACGCAATTCTTGTCAAGAAAAAAAAGAGACAGAAGCAGCAGTTGTGAATGGGGTGGCCAACCAAAGCTCCACCCCGGCGTTAATTGCATTATATATTTTTACACGTTAAACTGAACAAATAAATCGCCTGCGTTAACACACTAATTTTGACAGCACTAATATGTATATGAGCAATATCACACGAGTAGCAGTGCGACATGGCTGTTCATCGGCACGGCTGTGATTCGGCTGTAGGTAATCACAGCATGCTGATATACAGCCATATCGCATGGCTACAAGTGTGATATTGTTTTTATATAACAGTCGACGACACAAGTGTGTAAATACATAAGACACAACAACAGAGTGTCTATAAAAACCCTATTTTGTGCCTTTTTGTGCCTTCCTCAAATCTCAAGTTGACAGTTTAACAGCTGAGCCCAAGCCTAGTAATGAAGGAAGGTTGAGTTGCTTCATTGAAAAGTTATAGTAATTACTGTATTAAAATCTCACTGTATTATTCAGAGGAGAGTATCATGAGAGAGAGATGGACTGAGCGAGTGTGATTACCTGCATCTGATACAGCATTCATTCTTCAGCTCAATCTCACATTCACAATAAAACATTACTTTGAATGCCCGCTGAGGAAAGCGATATCTTTGTCGTACTATCCTTTTTTAATCTGTTAAGGGTGATTTCCGATGACAGCGCTGCACCCCTGCCGACAGCAGCTCTGCTTAATTGGAAAGGACAGCATCTATCCCAGCACCCAATAATCGCCCTTGACGGCCTCAGAGCCTGGTATCCCACACTGCCCCTCCTCCTCTGGATTTCACAGCACTCACATTTAACATACGGCAGCCTTAATTACCCATAAGCTCGCCTGTATTTGCATTTCAACTTTTATTATCAGTAGAAATAGGAAATGAGCTATTCTTTTACAAGTGTCTGTGTTACAAATTGTTTTCAACAGATGACTGAATAGATTGCTGGTTAGGTCAATCAGTTATAGGCACCTATGTATATTAGTGCTGTCAATCGATTAAAAAAATTAACAAATTAATCGCATATTTTTCTAAAATGAATTGTTATTAATCCCACCTAACATTAACGTTTTTAAATTTACTTTATTGAAATAATTTCACATTCAATCTTCAAATGAATGTAGAAACAACATAAAGACAGTACATTTTTTATATTTGTTTAATGACAACTTTTTTATGACTATAGGCGAGTATCACTAATACCAATACTACTGATGTCTCTAGGAAATTGTTTTTTTTCTTAATTTTTAACGACTGACTATAGCCATTTAACATTACAGTATAATTGAGAGCTATCAATTTGAACATTTATTAGACTTTAAAAAATAACTTTTAATTTAAGTGAACTTAAAACAATCTTCACATAAACCCATTATAATAAAT